TTGCTGGGTGCTTAGGATCTGTGTTTGCCAGTTCGCTCTCCTTTTCATGCAGATGGCCAAAGAGAACGCAAAGGTCACCAGTGGACTGGCAGAGGCCCCAGGACACACGAAAGGCTTGTGAGTTGGGTCACACTCTGTTTTGAAAACCTATGAAACTGCACCCTGATGGTCACCTCGGGCCATTACCTCCCAGGATCTCATGCTCAGTGTCCTGGCTAGTCTTGTGTCAACTTGACACACAAACTAGGCAGCTACACTAATCAGAAAATTAAACCGTTAGCATGAGAGTTCTGGCCATGGAGCTGCCTAGAGTTTGTGCAAACAACTCATGATGAACAGAGAATACAGGTGTGTGGTTCAGATGCCCAGTAGTTGGGTGAGGACGGTACCGCTCATGCAGGCTCTGCATTTCCGCCCCATTTCTCCCTTGCCTTGAACCTGTTTAGGGGAGGAAGGAAGAAAATATATGTAAAGAAGCTCGTTGTAAACTCTCTTGGCTACAGGCTCCTCACTGCAGAAAAGAGGGCAGTTTACAGACACCCAGTACCCCGGCGTATAAGAAGATGCGTGCCGACTGAGAGCTCTGCCCAGGAGTGAAGACTGGCTCAGTGGGAAGAGCAAGCGTGAGAGAAAGAAGAAAGCAGCAAGCATCCCAGCAACAGGAAGTTTCCTTGGCGTTTAGGAGATTCCTCACTGGGATCTCATCTCTTCTCCTTAGCTTCCGGAAGCCAGGCTGACTCCTTAATTCTTAAAGAAGAAGGGATCCCATGGGACACGATACCTGGAAAGAGGTCTCCATTCCTAGTCCCCACGTCCTTCCCCACAAAACCAGCTCTACTCGTGGTACGGAGAACACAGAGGCGGTGCTGTGCCCGTCTGCGGGCACCAAGATTTCCACTATGAATGACTCCGTTCTCTTTGTCATCAGTCTTAAAGAGTCAATGTTTCCCCCAGACTCTTGTTCTGGAAGAGCACAGCAGAAGGCAGCACAAATGCAGTCACGTACTCAATCCATTTTCACTGAGTACCAATTACATAGAAAATGCTGCGTGTGTTGGGGAGATAGTGCACAGTCACATCAGGGAACACATTTTCAGGCAGAGGAAAACACACGGGCATCATACTGGACAAAAGGACATTTACATACATCATTCTGGACAAAGGGACATTTGAATCAAGCTCTGAACCACGGACAGCTCTGAGTGGGGAGGCACAGTTGGAACAGGGAATAATGAAGGTGGGGGACATTAGGGATCAAATGGCAGACAAGCAGGTGGCTGACCTGCAGACTATGAGGTACTCAAGTGTCTGAGTAGCATGCGATTCCCCGAGAAGAGAAATGAGAGCCGAGGCTAGGAGAGTACTTTGGTATGAGATTTTTCAAGGGCCCCGGAGGCCAGGACATTTGTATTTTGATAGGTAATAGGGGAGTGATTTAAGGTCCAGGAGGGGGTGAGTGAGGCAATCCAAACTATGGCTCAGGGGGAACAAGAGGAAAGGGATTGCAATTTCCCAGCCAAGGGTAATGAAACCCTTACTTAGAATGGTTGCTGTGGAAATTGGGAAAGGGGAAATAGACGGGAGAGGCTTTGTGGGGGTTCACTAAACGGCGCCTGGCTGCAGATTGCTCACGCCTCTTCTCACTCTGCTTGACCCTCATTCCGCTCCTTGCTCTGATCGTAAAACTGTATGCGGCCTCCCTTAACAACCAGACTTCTACTTCCTGGAAATATTCTCACCGGCATCAGGTAAGGCTTCATTTGCAATAACCATGAAGGGCACCCTAAAGAACAATTCTTGATGCTCCAAATGAGGACCTGATATTCCTCATCTACACTCCTATTGTAATTTTGCTTTCTGACCTTTAGGGAAAGTTTTCCCTTTGTTCTTAGGACCCCGCTCTGGGAAAATAGGAACCCAAAGAAACACAGCTTTTCTGGAGCTTTTGGCTGCTTATACAGAGTGGAAATCAAGATAACAAAAGTAAATGTGTTCAAATGATTCCCAAGTTCTTCCTTTGTTCCGTCACTCTGCTTTAAGAGCATCTGAGAACTGTGCAGTATGAATATTACATATTTAGGGAAAAGGATTTTAACAATAGAATTTTAAAAACTCAATTATGAGAAATTCAAGAAAAGCAGTCACCAAAATAATTGGATTGATAATTCAATTGTTAAACAAAATCTAGGTACTATATTAGTCATTTCATTTTTAAAGGCCAGAAAAGCAGGAGATATTATGCAGTATATGTATAATCTCTCTTTCCCCTTTGGTGGATAGTGGCTGAAATGAGCCGAAGTTACCAGCATGTGACAATGGGAAGAGATTCTCTTCCATGCCAAGTCTTTCTCTGGTTATTTTGCCATTGCTATTTCCAGGTCGCCCCTTTCTGCATGGTGGCACAGGTGGCAGACACTGGGCATGCCTGGAAGGAGCGCGAGTGCTCTGGGACAACTGCACCTACAATGCAATGGTGCAAATACCAGGAGCAATGGTGCTAGGGTACACTGCCGTGGTACCAGGTGCTAGGGTGCACTGCCGCAGTGCCAGGTGCTAGGGTGCACTGCCGCAGTGCCAGGTGCTAGGGTGCACTGCCGCAGTGCCAGGTGCCAGTGTGCACTGCCGCGGTACCAGGTGCAGTGGTGCCAGGGTGCACTGCCGCGGTACCAGGAGCAGTGGTGCCAGGGTACACTGCCGCGGTATCAGGTGCAGTGGTGCCAGGGTGCACTGCCGCGGTACCAGGTGCAAAGGTGCCAGGGTGCACTGCCGCGGTACCAGGTGCAAAGGCGCTAGGGTGCACTGCCGCGGTATCAAGTGCAGTGGTGCCAGGATGCACTGCCGCGGTACCAGGTGCAAAGGCGCTAGGGTGCACTGCCGCGGTACCAGGTGCAAAGGTGCCAGGGTGCACTGCCGCGGTACCAGGTGCAAAGGTGCCAGGGTGCACTGCCGCGGTACCAGGTGCAGTGGTGCCAGGGTGCACTGCCGCGGTTCCAGGTGCAAAGGCGCTAGGGTGCACTGCCGCAGTACCAGGTGCCAGGGTGCAGGGCTTGTGAATAAGCTATACCCCCTCACATAGGTCGAGCCATCTGCACAGCGCTTACCGTAGGTGGCGGAATGTAAGCGCTAGTAGACAGTTGTGGTTCTATGTTATTTAGGAAAGAATGGCAAGGGGGAGAGTGTGTATTGTTTATCACAGTTATAATTTTTAAGATCTTTCTCACACAGATGTGGAGCCAATGGGTAGGGAGGACCAGGAATGCCAGTTATAGCTGCATACTGCTTCTAAACACTGTCCCTGTGTAATTTTACTTGACTGTTAATGTACTTTCTAATGCTCATTTGCCATATGAAGTAATTAAGAACATATTTGGAGTGTCCAAGGTCTACAGCTATGAAATGAGGACTCAATCCAAATTAGAACCAGGCGTGTGCAAACGTGAGTGCTGGCTGTCGCCCACCTAGCCTGCTTTTGGCTTGGCTGAGGCCATTGGTCTCCTTCTGTAGGAAACACTAGTACAAAGCAAGAGAGATATTCAAAGTATCCCCAAAACAATGTAGTCTGAGAGGAGGACTTTTCCAGAGCAGTGGAACAAAATAATATATAAAAATATATTTAAATTTATATACATATATATGAGTTTGCATAATTTGATATGATGTTTTAAATCACAATAAGAAAAGTAGCTGGCATTAAATGCACAGAAATCAGCTACTTTTTGAGGAGGGTAGAGTAAATTAAAGTCCTGCATTCTGTTAAGAAAGAAAGAAGAAAAGAAGGAAGGAAGAAGGAAGGGAGGGAGGGAAGAAGAAAGGAAGGGGGAGGAAGGAAGAAAGGAGGGAGGGAAAAAAGGAAAGAGGAAAGGAGGAAGGAAGGAGGAAAAGGGAAAGGTCACTTCTTAAGTGCCCACACCACTTATAAGGATTGACTGGGAAAACACCTACTTTCAGAGATAAGCATTTTATTTTACTTTTTCCCTTGGGGGAAAAGATGATTTAAAAGACAGAACAGCCCTGTGCTGTCCCCTGAACTCCAGGGGACACACACTCCTGTGAGCTCCCTAGGCCCAGAACCACATGCGCTTCCTTCCTGGAAAGACAGGTTTCTAAGGTGGTGACTGCTCTGTGGTTGAGGGATGGCTGCCTTGCCTCTCTGTTGTTGCTAATGAAAAAGAAGAGACAATGGAATAAAAGAACTAAACAGACCGCCTCCTTGGGAAAGTATCCAAGTAGAACCAAGACCAAAAGGACTAGGGTAGGGTCAACCAATCACAGTCGTCAAGATTTGGCTCCCAGCGACATGGAGGTTGGTTAAGGGGCAGAGGGACACCTAGGTGGCAGTAATGGGATCTAACAGGGAGTGCTGCCCTTGACTGGCAGGAAAGCAAGGCCAAAAGAGAAAAAAAAATCAGCAACAGAAGTCAACTTCTTGGAAGGGTGAGATTGTCATAATCTGAGTGGGGCAAGAAATGTTGGTAGCGTTGCTAGTGTGAAGACATTCACCTTCGAAGACTGTGACTAGGGACTGGCCTTGAAGCTGGAGGGGGTGTTAGGAGACAATGGCTGTGAGTCTCTTGTTTGGGGACACCTGGCCCTTCACACTCCAATCCAGTCAGTTATTCTGGCCTCTTAACAGGATGGCTATGTAGTCCAGACTGCCCTCCAACTCATCCTCTTGCCTCTGCCTCCCAAACGTTCGGATCATAGCAGTGATAAATTATTTTAACTTATCTATATTTAAGAAATCAAGTGTCAAGGTCTATATCTAATGGTAGGGTGTGTATGGATGGGCTCCTGGGGATCCAAAAACTCCCGGCTATCACAGTAGCTTCCAAGACAGGGTCTCCACTTGTTACCCAACTGAACCCAAGACCATAAAATAACTAAGACCCAGTGAGGAGAGTCTTTAAGATAGAAAAATTAAGGCCCATGAATAGGACAAATTTTCGCTTCATAAAATCAAAGCCTTTTAGCATAGCTTGCGGACATAATACTGTACTTACATCAAGAGCCACAGACTGCTTGGCCCAGGACTTCTTCACTTGATCGTACATAATTGTGTTGTTGATACCAAGGCCACAAAAGATGACAAAAGCCTAGGACACAGAAAGCCTGTTAATTAGAAACCATAATAACTCACAGACAAAATCTAATATGAAAGCCGCGGGCCACCAGAGACAGTTCTGAAAATATAATTTTATTGTGCTCAGAGGTGGGCCTCAGGGAAAAGTGCATCACAGTTGTTAATTACTATTGTCATGTAAGAGCTTTACAGCTCACATTGCACATGAGGAAAAAATCATTACTTCAATGACACTGTGAAGAAATAATGTCACACATTTGGAACCACACGATGTGTTTAAATGTGACCTTAATTTATGTGGGCAGTAGGCTGATTTTAATTATTCTATTTTATTTAACCAGGAACAGCCCCTTTCAATAGCAAGGTTACAAAATAGTTTGGCCAAGAAAGTAAGAAAAAGAAGCCATGAGCAGAGAGAGCTAAGGGCAACGAGACTGACTTGGAATCAGCGGCTAGCACAGAGATGCCAGGAGGAAGGATACTGATACACTCGGTGGGCAGACTCCGGCCCAGTCCATGAGAAAGCAGAGCACAGCTGACCTCTTCTGCTGTGATACAGGGAACTGAGCCTTGTGGACTAAAGAACACGGGGGACATACACCTGGCGGGGCCGGCTAAGGGTCTCATGACTGGACACATGAGAACAAGACAGGGATGGTACTATCAGACAGACACGGAGGGGATTCAGTTCTGCAATGAGACCAAGACAGAACGATCCAAGGTCACAAACTAATCTGATGAGGGGAAGCACAATCAAATTTTGCCTCGTGTTTATATAGTCTTTAAATCTTCCTCTTTGCTGGTACCCCGTTTAACTACATTAGAAAGATTAATGTTTACCCTAACAAATGCGGGCAAGGAAATGGCTGGCAATTTGGTTCTGGCCCTTGGCTTTTAAGTCTATTTGCTCACCTCAAAAAGCCGCTGGTCTGCATCATCAAAAGGTTTCCCATCGAGTCTGTTCAGCACTTGAGCGACCCCTGTTGAGGGAAAGTGGAGACAGTGGTCACTGTAAGTACTGGGCATTGTCACTGGGAGAGAACAGGTCGCAGCTAATTCTATGAATAGCTTAACACACTCATTCAACCCGCCTCCACGCTGGAGGTGTGATGAAGTTGGCAAGTATATTCGAATATGTACACACTGTTTTACATATATCATTGAATCTATTTATCTCTGTATATAATATATAATACCCCCCCCACACACACACACATGCTTTGGTGTTTGGGAGGGGCACTGTGGCAGAGTGATTAGGAACCTGGATTTAGGTAGAACCTTAGTTCCAATACCAACTGTGTGACCATGTTTAGTGATGAACTTTCTCATCTGTGCAAAAAGAGTTAAAATACGAACTACCTCAAAGGATTATGAAGATGTGAAATAAGTCTTAAATTTTCAACATGCATACTCAAGACATACAACATGATATTATGGGACACACATAGATCAAAGCAAAGTTAGTTCTGCTACCTGCTACCAATGGCGCACACACTCAACAGTCTCAGTTTATGAGGGCTTCCTCTTTCCAAATACATTCCTGGCGTTCTACCAATAGTGTTGGTGTTTCACTTCCAAAAACAACAACAACAAAAAGACAAAACAACAGTGCTCTAACTGGAAACCTCAGTGTGCGTCCATTTAGCAGAAATATGCAAAAAAAATAGCTATGATTCGCTGGGCGGTGGTGGCTCATGCCTTTAATCCTAGCACGGAGGAGAGACAGGTGGATCTCTGAGTTGGAGGCCAGCCTGGTCTACAAAGTGAGTTCCAGCAAGGTCAGGGCTACATGGAGAAACCCTGTCTCAAAAAAACAAGAAAGAAAAAAAAATAACTCTGATTCTAAAGTGAGCCTGTATTTTTAAAAGTACCTAACTTCACCTGGCGAACTGACCAGATTCTCAGCAACATGTAACTAAATGAAAAGTTCTTAGCATATAAGAAGAAAACTATAGCTGGACTTTGGAGTAATAGCGACGTTTATCATTAGGATTGAAATGTAGGATTATATGTGAGGTTGCTATTCGGTTAACATACAATTTGTCTTCTATGGGCATTTTCTCTCCTTTAAATATGGATATATCTAAAACTTTATATATGATGTAAACTAATTCCCCATTTGTATTCAGGCTTAGCGTCTAAGATCCTAGAATATTCTTTATGCTTAATAACCTACTAATGTATTTGTACAAACTAAGCAGTCCAGTGGGAAAGATGTCCTCCAGAAATGCAGGACTTGGGTTACAGGTGTATCTCAGTTGTCCAGTGTTTGCCTCGTGAGCAGGAAGGGCCACCTGAACTGAGGGTGATGACGCACACCTGTGAGCTCAGCACTCAGAATGCAGAGCCAGGAAGACCAAGAGTTCCAGGAACACATAAAACTCTGTCCTCCCTCCTCAATCTGACCTCGACAACACTCCCAGGGCACTAAGTCCTTGGTTAGGCAGTACTATCTTTGTGCTTAGCCAGTAATCTTAGGGTGTGGTAGAGAGAAGCAAGGTTGTATGTTATGTACCAAATCCATCACCTTATGTCTCTTAGAAGAAAAAAAAATCACATTTTCATTGTATTTTCATAGTTTTAAGTAACTCTCTCTCCTTCATGATTGTTTAAGCTTAATCATAAACTGTTTGTTTGCCTGCGCGTCTGTGTTGACTCTGGCACTTTTCTGATTGAATTGTTTAGTTTTTATTTATTTATTTTTGAGGCAGGGTCTCCTATAGTCCCAGGATGGCCTTGAACTCACTGTGTGGTTGAGGATGACTTTGATCTCTTCCTGCCTCTCACCAAGTGCTGGGTTTCAGCTATGTGCCATTGTGCCAGGTCCTGACTCTTTTCCTAGGTACAGGGAGACGGCAGGGAGGGAGAAAGATGTCGGAAGCTGCTTTTGCCTGGTTTCCTTACTGTGGGGAAAGTGTCTCTTTAGAGACGTGCCGGCAAAGTTATGTGTGCAGATGTGTCCAACACCTCTGCACCCACACTATGTGTGAAAGCTCAGACATGGTCGTAGACATCCTCGGAAAGTTAGGACCCCTCAAGTTTAATCTTGATCTCTTATTAACTCTAAGTTTGTGGCTGTTTCAGTCTCTCCTCTCCTCCCTCTCTCTCTCTCTCCCAATTCCGTCTCTGTTCTTCAATGTCTGCCATGTAAAATAACAAAGTTCAGAAGGTAGGCTTCTGAGAGCCCTTCCAGCTTTGGAATTTACTAGAGCTTTGAGCTCAGTAGATAGTTGTTCCTGATCTAATGGATGCCCATTCGTTAGTAGTCTGTGCTTATGGAATTGTAGAAGAGTATGGAGACAGACCTTGGTACATTCTGGGGAGCCAGAGGAGGGATGGTTGTTATGAGCCCCAGGCTAGCCAGAGGTCAGAGGCAACGCACGCACACACACACATGCACACACGCACACACACTCTCTCTCTCTCTCTCTCTCTCTCTCTCTCTCTTTCTCTCTCTCTCTCTCTCTCTCTCTCTCTCGCGCGCGCGCACACACACACACACACATCCACTCTCTCTCTTCCTTTCTCTCTCTCTCTCACACACACGCATAACGGGGGAACACATAAAACTATACGGGCCTGGTTTCCGTTTTAAAGAAAGGTTGCCCCACAAAGAATCACATGGGTAATGTCTTACCAATTATTTGGTGGTTGCTGTTCCAGATAGGGACACAGAGAACAGATCTTATGTGAAAACCAGATATCTGGTCAGCCTAGGGTAGAAAAAAGAAGCTAGTTATCATTAACTATTAACTACCCATGGAAAAGTTATTTCTAATCACGGCACCATAACATTTTTTGAGACAGGATCTGGTGCTACCCAGTCTAACCTTGATCTCACCATTTTCTCACCTTAGCCTTCTAGAACAGAATGCCACGGCATCCGTTATACCTAATCTTTTAATAAACACACTTACTTATTCTTTTTATTATGTCATAATGAGCAGCACAAGAAAATCGAATTCAAATGTAATCAATTCATTAAATAAATCAAACAATGGAAAATTGGCCTGACTTGCCCAGTCACTGCAACCATAGAGAAACGGGCCACAGTTATGGTACCAGACAAGTATTCTGCAGTGGATTCTGGGTAATTAATACATTTTAAATAGACCAGTAGTCAGTGTTTAATCTTTGACTGGGAATACCCATTGGTAAGAATGTTTGAACCTACAAGGAAATGTTTTATAAACACATTATTATAATTTTTTTTCTGAGAAGACAGGGTTTCTCTGTGTAGCTTTGGAGCCTATCCTGGAATTCACTCTGTAGACCAGGCTGGCCTTGAACTCACAGAGAACAACCCACCTCTGCCTCCCATGTGCTTGGATTTAAGACATCTGCCACCACTGCCTGGTGCACAGTAACTTTTAATACTACATGTTTTAAGATTTCTTTTTATTATTTTAAGTTATGTGTAAGTCTCTCAGTGTGGGTGTGGGAATGTGTGTGTGAGTGTGGGTGTCACATCCCGAGCTGGAGTTATAGGCAGTTGTGTGGCACCTGACGTGGTTTTTGGGACCCGAACTTGGGTCCTCGGAATAACAGAGCCCTTCACTGCCAAGCTGTCTCTCCAACCCAATACTATGTAGTTTTAATCTTGCTAAGTTGTTATGAATGTTGTAAAATCCCATAACAAAAATTTAAAAACAGAAATTGTCTTTCTCTTCCTTTCTCCTGCTCTCTCTCTCTCTCTCCTCTCCTGGCCTGTTCAGTCTGCCATACTTGTTCAGTCTACTGCTTTCTCTCCCTGCTTGGAGTCTTCCAGATGCCTCTGGCTGTGCCCTCTCTCATACATACAGTAATAACTTACTCTTAACCATACCATGGAGTGGTCATACATCTGGTGCCAAACCCCTTAGTTTTCATGGTGGGTATACATGGGACGTTTAGGAGGGGTGAAAGGGAAGGGGAAATGGTATAACTATATTACAATCTTAAAAATTGTTTAAGTTACTTAAAAACTAAAAAGAGAATTCCAGATGCAAAGTAAGCAAACTAGAACAAAAAGTAAAAGCATAAACCATTCATCCAGTATACCTTCCCACAGACAGTTATTAATGCCTGCTATGTGCATTGCAGGGTATTGGGGAGATAAAAATGAACTCAGTCACTATCCTTGAAGAACTCCGTCTACTAAAGACAGAAATAAAGATGAGATATGTGTCCAAGCAGGCAATGTTCAGAGCACAGTATTTGAAAAAGCTCCAAAAGGACCACAGAGAAATCAAAAATAGCTTTAGACCCTTTAAAAACAAATCTCCAACGATGGCCATGAAGATAACATTTATTGGCTGCTAGCTGTGTGCCAGCTCTCCCTTCAGCACTTCCCTGTGAATTATTTTATACACTTTCCGTACCAATGAGGTAGGTACTGTTATCATCTGTGCTTATCAGATAAAGCTTAGAAAGATTAACTGCCTTGAATGGAAGAGCCCGGCTCCCAGGAGGCCAGGCAATAACAAACACATCCATCAAAGTTATCTTTCGAAAGAACAGAATGGCTTTCTCCCTCTCCCTGAGGATAGCATCAGAATGAAGACAGAAACAGCAAGCAGGAAGAAGAGGCAGCCAGACTGAGGGAGGCTTCCTGGGTATAACCTATGTGTTAGTAGCCCCAGCCGCTCTAGAATAAATCGGGCCCACTTTATTTGGCCAAGGAAGGTGTCACACAGCACTAGACAGACAGTGGTAGTCTGAGCCAGTACAGAACATCAGGTATGCTTGTCTCTCCCTGTTCTGGGACCACAGAAACCCTTATCTAGCCTCTCCCATAAATCCCAGGTAGCTGAGGGGTGCCTCACATCACAGAGCGCACAGTTGGAAAGGAACATTCAGTGAGACAGAAGAGCTCTGGAGTCCAGGGGTGAGAAAAACAAACCTTTCTCTTCAGAAAGAGAAATTTGTTCACCCATCGCTTTCAAAGCATTATCTTCACCACCAATATTTCTTTATTCTGGATATAAGAGGTCCCCTATCCATACAAAGGAGGATATGGAGGTGTTTGGCTTGAGTAAAGGAGGCCGTGGGGAACCTGGGAAATCGGAGGGAAACGAGAGGAAGTTCAAATCGACAAAAGAGCACAAGAGCTTTGCGTGGATAAAATCGCCAGGTTGGAAGCTGTCCAGAAACATAAAAAACGAAGACTTGAGGAAGGAAAACTGGGAGGACACACCACCTATGACTCCAAGGGACAGGGATGGGACAGGACTCCTGAGCCTATGATCTTAACCCAAGACTTTACAATGTTTCTAAAATGTAAATGTATTGCTACAGTCTTCTTGGAAATTGATTTATTAATGTGTACCTGGCACATAAGAATGTGTAAATAACCTCTGACTTATTGATTCCATGTATAATACCATGTCTTATGGTAATTGTCAAAATTATGCACAAAAACTTCCATATAAGAGTACAAACCACAGAATTATATATCATAATGCTGTGTCAGAAATGGCATGAATATTCAGCAGTCAGTTAACTAAATCATAGCACATCCAAACAACAGCATGTTATGCATCTGATTAAAGTCATGCTACAGAATGTATCTGGACATGGAAAACATTTCCTCTGTTAGATGATAACTGTGCAGGCATCTGTGGGTGTGCGAACACGTATATACACTGACTAATCCTTCAAAAGCTGTAGTCACAATGGTTCCCTCTCAATTGCTTACCTCTGACAGTTTAAAAGTGACTGATTCTAGTTCCTAAATTTTAAATAAGGGCTGTAAATTACTTGTACATAAGAAAAAAGTTAAAATAGAACAAACCACAGGAGCAATGGTGTTCAATGGTATCGAGTGATCAAGCAGGATAAGAGTTCAATTTCTCAACACGTGGGTTAATTAAAGGCAGACACGGGGAGGAGATGAACGGGTGGGATCAGGAATAACAGTCAAGTGTAGCAGAGGAAGGTCAGAGGAAGCTATGTTGTGTTAGAGTCTTTAATCTGCTGAACCCTGGAGGAGCCGTGAGACAAGAGAGAAGGTTGTGTCTTTACATTTCTCTTACAGTGGTTCAGCAAAGAGGATCTTCATAGCTAAGCGATCAGTGAATGGGTGTGTGGTGTGGTGTGTGTGTGTGCGGTGTGTATGTGCGATGTGTGTGCAGTGTGTGTGCGTGCGTGTATGTGTGTGTGCGGGGTGTGTGTGTATGTGTGTGTATGTGTTGCAGTGTGTGTATGTGTGTGTGTGGTGTGTGTGCATGCGGTGTGTGTGTGCATGTGGTGTGTGTGTGTATGTGTGTGCTGTGTGTGTATATGTGCTTATGTGCGGGGTGTGTGTATGTGTGTGTATGTGTTGCAGTGTGTGTGTGTGTGGTGTGTGCACGCCCGTGTGTGTGCAGTGTGTGTATGTGTGTGTGTGTGCAGTGTGTGTATGTGTGTGCGTGTGGTGTGTGTGTATCTGTGTGTGCGGTGTGAGTGTTTGTGTGATTATCACTTTTGGTGATTTTTATAAAGTGAAAGAGAAGACAACCAAGAAAGGAGGGAGGGTACCAGAGTGTGAAGAGAGCGTTTTTGATTTAAGATCATTAAGACATTTCTCTTTCTGCTGTTAGTAGTAAAATAATGTTTATGGGAAGTCATACTAGTCTGGGTTAGTTGATGGAAGATAGAAATTTGGTATCAATGCCAACTTGCTACAAATTAGAATCACCTGAATGGGGAGACTCACCTGAAGAGTTTGTTCTGATTTGATTTGTCCTGATTGTGGGCAGCACCTCCCAGGAGAAGCCCAGATTAAAAAACAATATTTCAGAAAGAAGCCTGTCTTGCCCTTTGCTGGCTTGGCCTTCCTCTTGCCCCTGAGTTGATTTATCCCTGCTGCTGCTGCTTCCTTCACATATAGTAGAATCAGCATTCCCAAGCTTTCCTGGTGGAAGAGGGAGCATAGACTACCCAGACATTTTCTGGGCTTCCAGCACTAGACTGGGACTACTGCCTTATGGATTGAGTAACTGCAGGTCCCCCCAGAGAGAGACAGCTATTCTGGGACTGCTCTGAGTACTGAGGCAGCCAGAGCTAACAACTGAGTATGGGTTCTCAGCATCTCAGGAGTAATTTGACTATCATTGTTTAAAGATCACTTAATAAATGAAATATATGTAATAAATGAAATATATATTTATTTCTCTAAAGCAGTGTGATTCTCATCCAGTGGGTCAAGACCCTTTTGGAGGTAGCATATCAGATCTCCTGCACATCAGATATTTCATTACGATTCATAACAGTAACAAAATTACAGTGATGAAGTAGTAATGACATAATTTTCTGGTTGGGGTCATCACAACATAGGAACTGTATTAAAGGGTCACAGCGTTGGGCAGGTTGAGGACCACTGCTCTTGAGAACCCAACTAAACATATTCAGATTTTGACATCACAATTGATTCTGTCTTTGTGTTTTTGTTGTTTATAACTTGTTTTATGAGAACACATGTGAATGTTTTAACGTATGTAGAGTATTTTTACAATGCAGATATTATTAACACTAAAGGAAATGCCTGTGAAAACATTCCTACCTTGTTGTTCTACGGGCTTCCTGCCTAATTATCCTGTTTTAAAATGTGCACCATCGGAGTCCCTGAAATTAGGCTATGTGAAATGAAGCAGCCTTCCTAGCAAGTTACAGTCTGAATAAATATACTCTATCAGGGTGCCCGGTACCAGCCAATTAAAAACCTGTCCACTTAAAGCTTTGCCTACTCCTATCC